AGCGGTACAACCAGGGCTACGGACAAGCGGTACAACCAGGGCTACGGACAAGCGGTACAACCAGGGCTATGGACAAGCGGTACAACCAGCGGTACGGACAAGAGGTATAACCAGGTGTACAGACAAACAGTACAGCTAGTGGTATGATAAATGGCATAACCAATCCTTCAAAGGAGCGGTATTGCCAATATAACGCAATAATTAGAGGTATAACTAACACTATAACCAGTGTGCGAAATACGGGGGGGTCCGACACCCCCAATTAACCCATGAGACCCCCTGAAACGGGTATTTCACATACTGACTATAACCGACAGTATATCTGACACTACAATGCGGTGACTATAACTAATACTCTCTTTTTTTAATGTATTCAACACTGCGTTTCTGACAGACAGACATAACTCAGAGAGGACACACACACCCACACACACGTGCACGCACACACAGAAACGCACACATATATATCAGGTATCTAGGCATATGTCATTGTGGGGACTCCTGTGAGCATAACTCTAATCACAACATGACGACCTTAACCGCTACCTAACCTAATCTTAATCATAAGTAACCAAACAAGATGCAAGACTTTTTTCGTAGTTTTTTTATACAGATTTTGGCATTTTCAGATTTTTATAAAATTCAGTTTCCTCTTGTGGAGACCGAAAAAATGTTCCTTCAAGGTCAAAATAACAGGTTTTTATTAAATTATGGGGACATTTAGTCCTCACAATGTAATATATACATACCCACACACACACACACACAGGCGATGAAATTTCCCGACATATTTCTGTCATTCACACCCGCTATCTGTTCCCTGGAAGCCATGGCTGGTTACAGAATATGAAAGATATGGGGCACCTGTGCGATTCAGCACACGGACACGGACGGCTCTTAATTTCCCCTCAGCTGAATTTTATGGATGTACGGGGGAAGGGAAGCTTGCTCAGGCACACAGGATCTTTTCAGAATGTTATGAAATGTCAATTCTGGAGTTCACTTCATCAAATTGGAGGAAAAAAAAAAATGAAGAACACAGCTACCACCAGGGGGCGCCAGGGCTCATTCAGGGCATGACCCCCCACTCTGCCTCATGTAGGCACACATACACATACACTGACCCCATCCTTCACAGGCCATATGGAGTGAGAGGTGAAAAGGACATCCATGCAAGATGATTCAAACTCAAAACAGCTCAAATAATAAAAATCTTAATAAAAGAATGATAACATAAAAGCGTGGGAGGGCAGGGGGTCTCATGGGAAACAAAAAACACGAGCACGGCGAGGTGATAACAGGGAAGGGGTGGGGGGGTGGCCAGGTTATCAGGCTGGGCCCACAGAGACGCCGGTGAGTTAATTAAACATGTCTTACCTCTATCATGATATGAAAGGCTTGCTGGCGAAGGGAGGAAAGCGAGAGAATGTTACTATTTCAGCAACCGTGGGATGAAGGCAAGATACTGTCTGTTTGTCAGGCGGGTGATGGGTGACTGGGTCAGAAGCTCTCCCCCACCACACCAACCCCCCGCTCCCAGGGAGGAAAGATGCAGGGCGTCCCCCGGGGACCAGACTGGCACGTCCCACGTCACCTTCCTCAACGCCACGGAAAACCGGGAGAGGTGAACCTCAGCGCGAAATCAGAGCCGAACCCGGCCGACGGCGTCCCTGCGCCCAGTGCAGCCTGGTGCTGATGCCTGCACCACAAAGCGAGTGGAACTGCGGTCCTGGTTTTGTCTCTCATGCCACGATCAGGGGATCAGGCCTGGCGTGACCCTAAACCTCACCGTCTGTGGCCCGGGGCTTCGGTGCCAATCTCTCATCAGCACCCTGGCAGTGCTCAAGACGGAGCCACTCAAAAGCCCATCAGCGGTAAGATCTGGTCGGCCCCACAGCGGCCTCCCTCCTCAGCACCTCGCTGCACGCTCCGTGGGGTGCTGCCTCACCTGCTTTACGGTGATGGTTACAGCATTAGCATAAAAGACACTACATGTGATGGTAAATATGCCCGAAACGATGAAGAATGATACGGAACTAATGGCCAAGTGGCAGTGACGGCACCTCGAAAGGCCCGGACACCCCTGCCTGGCTGTCTGGATGCCAACGACATCACCCCAATCAGCAGGGATGAAATTAACATCTGCGCAACAGTGAAATCGCAGCTACCCCTCAATTAGGCACGATTTAGGTAAGCATTCGGAGAAAGAAATTTTAAACAAAAAAAACACTAAAGTGTGACAAAAGCAATTTGTAAGCTGCTTCGCATCATCCAGGCAAATTGGACACGATGCCGCAGTGAGGGGGGGAGGGGGTTTCGGAGGGCGGGGGTGTCAGGGATCACCTGCAGGAGTGCAGCAGGGCCGCCCGCACATGATGATGCATTATTGATTACATGATGATGCGCCCTGGCATGGCGCCAGCCCGTCTGCCGCACCCCCCCCCCGAGACAGCCAGCATTATCTCTCTCTTTGTGCTCTCTGCCACCCCCCTCCGTATTGGATGGAGACGATTCAGCCGCAGGGCATAGGGAAGATCAAATGATGAAGGGGCGGGTGGCACAGGGGAGAGGCGTGAGGGGCTTGGTTCATTTGCATTAGCCCCTCCCTCAACACAAAATACCAGATGATGAAGACAGATTGGAGGCTTGGTCAGGGGCCAGGTGACAGCGGAGTCATTCCAAGGGGACTTAAACCACCAGCGGTGATTAACTGCCCAGCGGAAGCAGGACAGAAGAACTTCAATGTCAAAGAGCGCCCCCTTCAGGTCATCCATTGGGAAACGGCATTCAAACCGTGAATGTGATGTGGTGTGTGGTCACATGGTCAAAACACACAGCATCTCTGTCTGTATTCCCTGAAAATGAAACAGCCCTCATAACTGACTTGTACACAAACCCACAGATAAAACAGACCAACTGCAAACAGCAGGGCGGCGACAGGGTGCTGTGGCACCAATTACACACCCATCATCTTCTTTTAATGTCACCGTCATCGAGGGAACAGGCAGACGTGCACTGATCCAGAAACAGTGGCTCGTTTTGCACCCGGCCCCTCCTGGGGTCGGACGGTGCAAAGCGCCGGGAGACCACAGCAATGCAGCTCAGGCTGGGTGTGCATTCAGCCATCAAGCTAAAGGTACGCCAGAAAGCATTTACAAAACGAGCCCCCGTTAATTCCCCGGCAGCCTCTCTGCTGGATTCCCGAATGGCTGCGGTAACTCCTAATTAAGGCCCATCGATTACCAGGCATCTCAATTAGCGTGAGCAGGGAGATGAAGGACGGAGCCTGGAGGAGGAACACGGGCAGACGCGCACACTCCTTTCATTATACCGTGGGGTAACGCCACAGCCACCAGGGGGCGCTTCTCACAGGGTAGACAGAAAATTAAAAAATACAGATGATTCTGGATGAGCTTTGACTTCAGCAGGTGTAAGAGGGCGGCAAGACCCAACTGAAGGACCTGGACCCATGACTTAGAGCTCACTGCTCTGTCTGTGAAAGAACTCAAATTAATAAACCTGCTGTCACTATGTCCCTGAGGACGCTATCCCACCTGTCCTCAGAGACTCCCTGTGCCACCCACGGTCCGGGATGTCACAAACCAGGACCTCACCTCCTCCCCCCCTGGGCTTCTCTCTGCTGCGCCAGTACGCCCCCCCAAAAGACATACCCTGGCAAACCCTGTGGGCCACGTTTCAGGCCCCGAGGGGCATCAAGCTTCCTCCATCCACAGTGCCGTGCCTGGACTTACCTGTGTGGGCACCAGGACCGGGGGGTAGGCCAGCTTGTGGTGGCGGTACATCCAGAAGGCAAAGAGCATGATGGCGGCCAGACCCATGATGGGCACCAGCGAGTAAAGCACAGTGTTGAAGAGCTGGGGCTTCTGGGTGAATGGGTTCGAAGTGGCTAAGGCAGGAGTGGGGGAGAGGGAGAGGGAGAGAGGAGAGAGGAGAACCCAGTCAATCCAGATGTGGTCAGATGTAACTATAAACCGATCGAGGAAAGAGAAACGTGCTTCAAGAGGGGCAAGGAATCCTCCAAGCACATGGGGGACGCCTTCTCGGACATCGTCTACGCCAGGGGTGGCCAGTCTTATCCAGAAAGGGCCGCTGGATAAGCTGGTTTTTGCTGCAGCTCCCTAATTAAATTAGGTGACTGACTGGCTAAAGAGTCCTCACACCTGGGTTTGAACAGCTCACCTAAAGGTTACCCCAAAAACCTGCACACACACCGGGCCTTTCGGACAAAGACTGGCCACCTCTGGTCTAAGCCGACCTCATCACCGTCCTCGTCAAGGTCCTAGTCGCGCCCTCGTCACTGTCCTTGTCATGTTCTTGTCACGTTCTCGTAGCTGTCCTCCTCGTATCTCCGTCCTCAGTGCGTCCTCTTTGTTGTCCCCATTGTGTCCTCCTCACCATCTTCATCAGCTCCCCATTCCCACCCTCCTCACATACTGGTATTGCCGTAGCACGTCGTAAGGCAGTCCCTATTACGTCCTCCTCATACCAGTGTTCCATCACCATCCTCATCCTTGTTGAGCCCACGTTACGTAAGCAGGCCAAGTGACGCTCTGCTGACGCCCACAGCTGCTAAAATGGGCCTTGGGTCCCAGGCGGAAAACAGGAGCGTCTCTTCACAGCGTCGCTTGGGACTGAACTCGCACACAGTTAATTGAATAATTTTAAACTTCTCGTATCTTTGCCCTCTCGAGGGAGTCAACAGCAGCCTGTCCTCAGCTGACTACTCCAGCACACACACACACATATGTAGGGTAAACATATCTTTATGGGGACCGCTCATTCATTTCTATGGGAAAAATGCTAACAGTAACTATGACAACCTTAACCCCTACCATAACCATAAGTAACCAAACAAAAACAGGTTTTTATTACATACTGGGGGAGATTTGGTCCCTACAATGTAATATAAACCTAACCCTAACACACACACACACACACACACACACACACACACACAGACACACACGCACACACATATACACAAAAGCACATACATACCCACAGACACACAACACAGGCCACTTGAACATCACCTGTCATCATAGCCTGTTTCGCAGTGGCACAGAGAGCAAGCGATGTCCCAGCCTTAGCTGGAATCTTCTGTGTTTACAAGATCCTTTCATAACCCAGCAAGAAAGAGGTTCACAGATAACATGTTTCCAGAGAACTCCAGTGCAGTGCCCCCCCCCCCAGGAATACCAACGGCATTAATGAAACGGCCCCCTCCACAGCAGGCTGTGTTGTTGGGTCCAGGTTACAGTGCAGTTGTGGGGGGGGGGGCAGTCTGGCCTGCTGCCCCTTAACACAGGGTTATAGCACGCTAACTAATACCTACTCACCGCGTCAACAAACGCAGTAAAAATGGGACTCGAACCCTAACCTAAATCCAACCCCTCGCACTCCCAGACAGCGAGTGGGACCGGCACATTCGGAAGCAGTAACCGCAAAGTCGCCTGAAGATGTGTTACCCATGACAACCGTCACACGTGAGACTCACACGCTCTGAAAGCGGCGGCGCGGCGAAGCACCGGCCCGGCGCCATGAGTAACACAACCGCACGCCTCACGCCGGGAGGCAGCAGGAAGTCACGGCTGCGGAGGAAGCGGCGAGCTGGCGAGGGTTTCCATGGCAGCTGACAGGACGGCGGGGGGGGGGGCTCGGCCTGCTCTCTGACCCTGTGCTAAACGTGCCAGTCACACACTGTGGCTTTGAGATCGGAGAGGTGGCGTGGGGTTATGGGGGGGCTCTCCCTGACTCCACGTCCTACCAAGCTGCCCTCCACCTTTATTTTTCTCGAGGGACATAGGAAGAGGAAAAGCAGACGACAAAGTAGGATGTGGGTCTGAACATGGGCCAGCAGGGGTCACTGTGAGAGCGGGATAAAGAGCCCCCCCCCCCACCCCACACCCTGAGGCACCCCCGGCCCCAACCGCACAAGCGGCCAAGGCGATAAATAGCAGAAAAGTTAATCAAGAGCTTTGGCGACGCCCCATCTGTTACGCTAACACCCCTCGAAAGGCGGGAGGGCAGGTGGGCAGTGCTATCTGACGATCCACGATGACTCACAGCCGGCCAATGGCGGCTGGCACTGCCCCTCCCCCTCCCTCAGAGCCCCATCAGGTGATTAACAGCGAGGCGACCGCGTGCCAGCACCGGGGAGGGGGAATACAAACAGGGGGCTCCGGGCACTCACCTGTGACTGAGCCGGCTGTACAAAAGGGCACATCTGTGAATTGTAAGTCACTCTCACACAAAAGCTCAGAGCACGGGGACCCGAACTGGGTCCAGGCCAACAGGGGGCATCGTTCCTGACCCAGGATCAGCATTTTTCCTCAGCGGGGCTGAGCTCACGAGAGGAGAGCGGGACACTTACTCTGCACGGGCTGTGTCTCTGGGCTGTAGGAGAACTTCTCGTTGCACATGCTGCCCTCGCAGCAGCAGAAGAACACGTCAGGGCTCTCCTTTCTCTCCACGCACTCACTGCTATGGGGGGGCAGAGGCATGGCAGTCAACGGCTAGCAACCCTTACTGGCAGCCCCCCCCCCCCCCGGCTAGTGCGGCATCACAGGGCACGCAGCATCCAGAACCATGGAAACACAGTCTATAAAAAGGGGGGAGGTGGGAGCCATTTTAATCAGCATGTGCCCCCCCCCCCATACCCTGTCTGGGGGGAATAACTTTATGGGGCTGGAGAGGGAGCAGCAACACAAGGCACCTTGCATGTGGGACATGGCTTGATAGGGTGGCTCATTTTGAGGGGGGGCTGTGCCCATATGGGGTGGGGGGAGCAGGATAGATCCTCACGGGCGGAAAAAACGGAAGCTGGCGGGATGTCGGGACAGAGCCAGAGACAGAGGCTGCCGCCCACATGCCTGTATGTGTGTGTGTGTGTGTGTGTGTGTGTGTGAATGGGTCAGACACACGCATCACAAGCATCTCACCCCCCAGCCCCCCCCCCACCCCCGATCAGTCACACTCCCTAATTGCCAATTACCGCTGAATTCCTGGCTCTGAGTAAAAATGTGCGTAAGGGAAAAAAACAGCTTCTTTCAGCACTTCACGGCATAAATAACTGCCCCCCCAAATCAGGGTCCCGGGGGGGGGTCAGGTACCTGTCGTAGCAGTTGACGTCGTCGAGCCAGCAGCCCTGCTTCACCACCTCGATGGTGCCCGACATGTTCTTCCAGGTGGCGAAGCAATGCCGCCGCTTGTCCTTCTCGCCGAAGCACGGCTCAATGCCGCTGCGGTTGGTGCGGTCCTTCTCCCAGCTGGCATTGTAGTACACACACTCCTGCGTCTCCGAGTGGCCCAGGATAGCACCTGGGGGGGGGGCGGTAGGAACGACACCTCAGTACATCTATAGGTTCAGGGCGCCGACAGGGAAGCACGTGGTTCTGGGTCTCGAACCCTCAACCTAGCAGATACTGGCTCACATCCCCCTCCTGATGGCTTATGGGGTGGGGTGACTGTCACATGAACAGGAAACAAGCTGTCAGTGAGGTCACAAACACGTGCACAAGCGGGGGCGGGTGTGTCCGCATGGGGGGGCAGGGTTTAAGGGCCTCCTGGAGGTCAGGAGTACCTGCAGGGCTGGCATGGGGGGGTTTCACAGTAAGTCTCCAGCAGCACCCCCCACCCCCCATACAAGGCCTTTGTGGCAGCCTCTTTCTCAGCGTGTGCAGCTCGGCCTGCTCGCAACCCCCCCTCAAACACACACACACACACACACACACACACACACACACACCCCTCCCACCTGGCTGGCAGCCCAGAAGCTACTCCGTCGCTCTGAAGGAGTGTCACACACTGGAGCACAGTGTGTACAGGACAAGGTCCAGCAGCAATCAGGGGCGGAAAGCATTTCCCATCATGCCCCAGCAGAGCATATGAGCTCAGGCCGGTAATTAATTTGAGGAGGGGGGAACATCAACAGGAGGTAGCTGTGGGGGTGCGGGTGTGGGAGAGGGCTGATTAAAAGCACGGGACTCTAAGAATCTACCGCCGCCCTGCTGGGCACAGACGGTTAGCGCCAGTTTGATTCTGTTTTTCCTTTATCTTTTACATATTGTAGACGAGAGCATGAACAGGATGGTAATGCCTGGCATGGACACGCACTGACCTAAGCACCTTCCTCTTTTTCACAAACACACACACACTCTCTGGGTAGAGGGGTGAGGCAGTGAAGCACTCTGCTCTGTTATTAGTGATTATTACTTTATTATTTGATTAATTGCACTTTTTTGGGAGGGGGGGCAGGTCATAGGATGAGACTGTTGGAGTAGCTCCCGAATAAACAAGGTGCAAGTCCACATGGGGGCCTGCAGGGGGCGCCATCACCAAAGCAGGAGGCCGCATCTTTCTGCGAGCCACGCGTGGGCCTGCCGTGGGGCTTCCCGGCTCCCACTGCCAGTGGCAGCATGGTGGTGCAGTGATTAGCACTGTCACCTCACACCTCTGGGACACGGGTTCAAGTCTCTACTAAGGTTACATGGGTTGTCATGGGGTTTCCTCGGGTACTCCAGGGGGTGAGTATGCCCTGCCATGGGTTGTCATGGGGTTTCCTCGGGTACTCCAGGGGGTGTGAGTATGCCCTGCCATGGGTTGTCATGGGGTTTCCTCGGGTACTCCAGGGGGTGTGAGTATGCCCTGCCATGGGTTGGCGCCCCATCCTGGGTTGTTCCCTGCCTTGCACCCATAGGCTCCAGACCCTCTGTGACCCTGAGTAGGATAAGCGGTTTCAGAAAACAAATGGATGGACCCTCAGATGCCCCTTTAAATCTATACTGGCTGGTTACCTCACTCAGTACTGGCGCCCCCACCTGGTGACTCACAGTCTAGCACCCAACTCCCAATGCCCTCAATGTGATGGCAGGTTGCATTTCTTGCACATCCCAGAGCCATGCATCCTAATAAAGGATGTTACTGATGGGTAAAAGAATGGGGCAGCTGACCATGCAAGGCTCACGGCAAGTGGGTGCGCAGTGTCTCCTATGTATGGTGTATTTTGTACGTACATTATATTTAACTGTTCTGTTATTTGCTGTTATTTACAATAAAGTTTTTGAAACACTGAATTCTGGACCATCATGAGTGATATTTTCCTGGTTGGTTCGTCTGTGGTACATTTTAGAAGAGTTTAGAAGTGGGGGGGGGGGGGGGGGGGAAGTGTTTACAAGACTGAATCCCTGCGAGAGGCGTACATGGGGGCCACACCCTCTGGCTGCAGGCCCCGCCCACCACTGCATTATCGATGACAATTGACAGGTCTCCACACGTACGAGCCTGTCAACGCAGGACAACAGAAACAAAGACATCAACGTAAAGAGAGAAACGCGTGGAGGTGGATGGATGGAGACATGAGGCCTGCCCCCTGCGTTCCCAAAGCAGTCTGCAGGACGACTCACAAAGGGGTAATGACTGTTTGGGGGTGCCATGTCTCCGGGGTGTTCTAAATCATATCCAGGCAGGATATGTGTTTGAAACGGCCTTTTTCACATGCTACCCGTGAACAGAGGAGACTCATCTGAATGGCAGCAGCAAATCTCTCCTTTTAGGAAGAAGCCCTTCAGAATTAACGTAATCCGCCATGGCACACACCACGCTGAGGGGAGCGCCAACAGCCTGCCGGAATTTGCAGCGCGGTAAGAACACAAAAGATAACCATTAAGGTGACATAACAATGGCACAGAGACCGCAGGAAGATTTCAGGCCCTAAACAGGTCTGGCGGGTTGAACAGGAGATGAGGCGAGAGAGAGCGCCCCCCTCAGCCCGAAGAAGGCACTGATCCCAGACCTGTGCCTGGAAACTCAAGGGAGGATCAATCGGGAGAGATCTTTTAAAAATAATGTGCAATTCCTCACACTGGAGGGACAGAGGCTCCCCCGTCTCACAGACGGGTGCTGAAACACCACATGAGGAGGCTCACAGGGCAGATAGCCCCCATGTCAGACACCACTCTAATGGAGCAGGAATGGGCAATCGAAAAGGGCCACTGCGCTTTAGCCAGAACGCTGGAGCGAGAGCCAGCGAACACACGTATGACAGCACGTCCAGCCTCCCTGAAATCGAGAGGTGAGGGATCCGAGTGTCTGACGTGTTTATTATTACACCCTTAATTAAAAGCGTCACCTGTCACCTAAACACGGCGTGACGCGCTCACGGGTGCGCTGGGACGTATCGACCACAGGGCGTCGCCGGCCAGACCGCCGCCAAGATGCTAATGGAGTTTGGCGGCGATGGATGGCGGGATCACGGCAGCCGAGATCAGCCGACATAAAACGCCGTCATGCGGACGGAACGGGGCTCTGAGTCACCTGCGGCGACGGTGATGGGCGGGGGTGCCGGCGTGTTGCTGTGGCGACGCAGAAACCGTACACTCAGCCCCGAGCTTTTTGGGGCTCTGGTAGCCGGAGACGAACCCGACAGCCGGGATCTTAGAAACGCGAGCAAGCCGTCCATGTTTTATGTAGAGAGGGCGTCCCTTACTCCCCCCCCCCGCCCACTCGGAGTCCAGGAGGGCCTCACGCCATGATGCGCGGAGAGAGCGCGCCCCCAGAGGGGTCAGGCCAGGCCAGGAGCTCTGCAAATAGGCGGGGGCTACTGTATCGCAGGCCACGCATTCCCTCGGCGTGACGGCAGACGCTATTCACCACAGCTAAAATTAAAGCAGCGTGCCGCTATATTTGAACACCTGGTATCCAACGACGCCTATGAAACCGTCCATGGGACTCGCCTCAGCCGGCCCAGGCACCGGCGCCCCCTACTGCCCACCCGCTCCGGGCCGCTTTGGCTGATAAAAGTATGTCCAGAATCTCCCTAACCTTCAGTTGGTATCACTGTGTGGCTCAGTGGTTTTGGACCATATGCCTAGAATCAGAAGGTCGCTGGGTAAAATCCCAGGTGTGCTAAAGAGGGGTCACTATTGGCCCCTGAGCAGGGGCCCTTAACTGCAGTGGCTCCAGGGACCCGCTTCTGCAAATACATTCAGTACTGCTCAAAAGTCATTTTCAAAGAAAATGTTTGTAACACTTTACCTGGGTAATAACAAGCATACATTTGCTCTGAAAAAAACGTAACATTAGAACACATGAAAATTAACAGTAATTTCTTCTGTTTGCCAAAAAGTCATTGGACGGCTAGATGAACAGCGCTCCAGCTCCCAAACCTCTCCTCAGGGGCACCCCAGCCATTCCATGGATTCGTTACATTTCACCACCAGTTAATTAAAGTCAATTAATTGATTGACTGACTTAGTTAAATAATTCAGTGAGGTATTGATTAGCTATATGAGGTGAGCTAGAGGTCAAGTCAAAAAATACATGGGTGTGTTGAATGATCACTGCAAACATGGGGGTGATTTTAGGAGAGGCGTTGAGAGGGTTAAGCCGCACACTTTAAAGGCCATAAAATCATAGTTTTACACCAACATCAGGACCATTTAGAGCATTTCCCTTGACTTTTGCACAGCACTTCAAGTCTGATAAACAAACATAAATGATGGTAAGCTCTGACTTGGGGGGGGATCTCACCAGCCCATCTTTCTATTGTATGTGGGCAAGAAAGGACGTGATTGGCATCCCACACCCACACTCACCTCCAGGACCCGCCCGCAC